TTTTAGCTTCTGAAATTCACATTTTCCCTATCTCACCCCTCCACATATTTGCACATTTGCACCTCTTCCAGCTATTCTGACCAAAGAAAAATGATGTTTTATATAATTGTTAAGTAAGTTACTGAATTTGACAACTACTAAAAACACGGTATATTTTGGCTTCTGTCCTGTCTCAACATGGTTGTGACGACAACCACAGATTTCATGGAAATGTGCTACGATGTGACAAGCACTTGGCAGCTGTAAATATGTACATATAGCAGGCCATAAAATCAACGATTTTTAAACCATCTGTCTCACTAAAGAATACCGTTAAAAGGTATTTAATACACGTCTTTTTTCCTCATCTACCTATCCGAAATAACAGAAGACAAATGTAGAATGAAGTTGTTCATAAATCTGTAACAAGAAGTACTACTTGCAATGTATAATACCATAGCGCGAGACACAGTGTGTTTTTTATTTGTGTCCTGCTACACAGTTTTACATTTGCCGAGCGAAGAGACACACATTTTTATCCTGCACCCCCCCCCCCTATTTTCACGGGGAAAAATGTATTTTGTTTGTGATATATAGAGACGTTATATTTTAAAGTCTGTATGGACCTTTCGTATCGTTATTCCCTTGATCACAAAGACCTAGGTAGAGAAAATGCATTGGTTATGACAAGATAATAGAGAAGAAGATGAATATTCAGTGACTCAATATAGATAAAAAATATTATGATTCATCCGAGTTTATTAAGTCGAGATCTGGAGCACAGAGAGAAAGCCGTCTCCAAGACATCAGATAATAAAAATAATTTTTACCATTTGTCATCATGATTGCGTGTGCGTTTGTTTGTTTGCGCGCGCGCGCGCGCGTGTGTGTGTTTCGCGGGGGGGGGGGGCAGGGGGGGGCGGCTAATTATCCGGATTGTGGCCCGTGAATTGAAGTTTTTTCTGCACATTATATTTCCTCGCCTCTCAATATCAACATTATCGAGTTTCTGAGAGAATTCAGGAGTGATCCTATCGGCATTTTGTTAAAAAACTATTACTTTGTATCATTTCAAAGTTGAGGGTTTTGCTTTTGCTTTCTTCATAACAGGCATTTTATTTCTATCAAGTGAAATATAAAACAAAACACATTGTTGGCATTTGATTTATTTTAGTCAGTTTGTGTGTCTTGTGCATAAAAAAATTAATGTAAAGATCAGTGTAGGCATACCGGTATGTCATATTATCCACCTGTTAAATGCGGAGACGTTTAATCACTGACCCCATCTCCACGTTGATATCCATACACACAGAGATTAGAGGTATCCGAGACATTCCTTACCTCTTCTTTATTGGGAGAACGTGAAGCAATAAAGCGCTGCTGCTATATAGTCTAACTGTCACACCTGGCGTATTAATGTCCGTATGAGCATCTTATGTAAAATATTATACACACAACTTTGAACGAATGAAATCACCAAATCACCCGTCTTCCAGTATATGAGAAGAGCGTACGTGTATACGCAGCGTATGAATTGCTTTCGAACATGCTCAATCTCCGTCCACTTATGCCAGCGTACACCAACATTTGTCTGCGTACTCGAGACGTACTATACGACATACGTAACTAACCCTTGCGTTTGTCTGCGTATGTGTAAATTTCCTCATGCAACGATGTTACATGTTAAGTGTGACAAGGCCTTAAACAGAGAGGACTTGTAAGGAATTCGAGAGCCAGAGCTCGTCGTCTTGGTTACAATTTGACAAAGAGAAGGCTTTTACCCGAGAATTGGCTTCATACTTTTCTCGTTTTAGCTCTAATTTTTACTTTTAGTTATCTTTTAATACACTATCTTATAGATCGTTTCATTTTCACGTCTCAAACTTCAGGATTTTATTACTATTATCGTTATTTTAATATCACTTTTTAAGATCTCCGTCAGTATTCAAATTTCTGATATATATTTTGTACGCATAAATAAATATTAGTTGAATAAAATGATTATTCATTGTGAACTGTCTCTCAGATATAGTAATATAAATGCGATCTTTTGCACGGGCAAGGAATTGTAAGCCCACATGGCACTTGTAAACCTCTCTTTGAACAAGTGTCTTTGGTTGTGTATCTCTTAGCGCTCATGCCCCGTACGAATTCTCTGAATCGTCACAACTGACACACAATAAAAGAGCTGTCACATGAAAAATAACATCAAACGATTTGAAGCAAGCAGGCAGTTTATTAAGCAAATAATCTACTAATGGATTTTCATACATGCCAGTATAAGTTCTACTACCAGTCAAGTAATACTTACTATACCAAGTATAGAACATTAATTACCTTATAATTACCGTTATGGATTTCTGTGATCATGGTTATATGTTTGCATTGTAAAATTGAGAAAAAAAACTTGGAATATATGTCCCACCTAAGATGAGAAACTTCCTTTTAAAATATAAATAAAATGAGCCTCCAAAGATTTTCTTTGGGGAGTTAATCCAAAGACCTCCATAATTATCTTCATTTGCCCTAAAAACCTGTGTTTCTTACAAGTCTTTCTTTTCCTCAAGGTTTATAGAACCCAGGCCATGTGATCTCACACATCCAGTAGGATTAGTTATTCCATACATTTTTTTAAACACCTCAACTATCCAACAATTCATTCACCAAAGATTTCTTAACATTACTTATATAACTTAAAGGAAAATCACCTTAACATACATTTCTAACAAGATATTATTTCTGAATAGTTAATTATCAATCGTTTGTATCAGTGAAGTGAGTAATTACAATACATAGATGATGAACTTATATCTAAATGCTTACGTATTCAGCTTGTATCTCAAAATTAAGGTATTATTAATTATGCCTTTACAAACTTTTAGGAAAGTCAATGAACAATCATCAAATGTTCAGCGTAAACTTGTCTGTCTTAATACTGCTACCAGTATGCAAGCTTCTATATCTATGACAATAAATATCAAGTAACTCCTGTTCCTCTCTTTCTACATTCCTGTTGTTCTGTTGTATGAGGAGACACCAAACTGATGACTTGTTTTCTAATGTCAATTTAGTCACGTCATGATCAAGAGATGACACAGAAGTTCTGAATACAGAGAAAGTGCCGTGCCAGAAAATTTTCATAGGTGATACCCAATCTTTTGAGATTCAATTACGCAAAGTGACAGCAATTTATGAACTGATACCATATTAAACCTCAAGAAAATCTTTACACTTCTACAGATACTGCGAGAGACCACAAGCAAGCATCCAGTGCAGGCTTATCATAGTGTGCTAACAGTAAAGACAGAGTGACCCTCCCGTGTCTGCCCCTGCTTCCTGGATATTAATACCTGGATTGCACTAAGGTACCTTCCACGTCAACCCTATCTTCAATGTTAGCCTCCAGACATCTCACTATCTGCTGTTACAACACTGGCTAGCACAACAATAGGACTGTGGGTATGATAAAATGTCACCTTGTTTCTATCTAATATTTAGTCTGCTCACTTGGCTTGTTTTTCTTGCATTATATAGTGGGTGTATAGTCTTCTGGTTTGTCAATCTCACACAGATATCCTGACTTGGTTTCACAGGAGTACTCCTGTAATAACAGTTCATCCAGGAAGGTCAGCGCCCATAGGCACAGCGTAGTCTTGTCCGTGGGGGGTGTGACGGAGTTGATAATTTCCGTGCCGGTGTCGTTGACGCCCACAGTGGCACGCGTGGTCTCCCAGGTGAAGGTCCCGCTGGAATCAGACCTGGCGTCCAGCCACAGCCCCTGCCACTGGCCCAGGAAGGCTGGAAGTAGAATGTTTTAATCTATATACAATATTAATTTCACTGAGTATAAAATTCCTTGAACCTAGTAATAAACTTACAAATTATCTCAATTTTAAAGCACACAGTTCATAAGTAAACTAGGCATCAGTGAAATCAGTGAGTCCATTTACTACTAAGCATGGTGACTGAAAAACACAGAGAAAAAAGAAATACAACTACATGAGACCTCTCCTTGCCACTAGTGTTTTACTATCTGACTACTGTAGTTCTCTAAACACATTACGTCATACCATTTAACATTTTGTTTATTTGTCACAATAGTCAGTCAATAAAAGTCAGCAACTTGCTCTTACATCAATATCCTTTCAATTGAATGTAAGTACTTGTTACAACACGAGTCGTCTTCTATGTGTGACAAAAAAGACTAATTATCCAGGTAAAGCCGACGTACAGTAATCCAGGTATAGCCAAGACGGTAATATCAAGGCATAGATGACATACAATTATCCAGGCACAGCTGACATACAGTTATCCAGGCATAGCTGACATACAATTATCCAGGCAATAGATGACATACAATTATCCAGGCATAGATGACATACAGTTATCCAGGTATAGCCAAGACAGTAATATCCAGGCATAGCTGACATACAATTATCCAGGCATAGATGACATACAGTTATCCAGGCATAGCTGACATACAACTATCCAGGCATAGCTGACATACAATTATCCAGGCATAGCTGACATACAATTATCCAGGAATAGCTGACACACAGTTATCCAGGCATAGATGACATACAATTATCCAGGCATATCTGAGATAGAATTACACTGATGAAGGTTGTACTCAGAAGGTGTCAAGTAACTGACTTATGCCACGGCTGGCATTTTAAACAATATAATAATTCAATTGAAGTCTGCTTCTGATGCAATGAAGTGTATTAAAATAGAAATAAGCATACACCCCTTGTAAACAAAATACAAGACTTGGTGCAATTATCCAAAGAAATGCCAGCTATAGGATACATTATTTAACCAACCAACAGTTTTCAATATCATACAAAAAAGGTCACTTCGTCACTCAAACAACACATCTATTTGAGTTTACAGTAAATTCCTTACGTGTTCTAATGTCCCTCAGGGAGTGCACCAGCGCACTCTCCTCTGGTGAGTCAATGATGGCCCTGTGCGCCAGTGGTGACAGCTCCTGACACTTGCTGAGAGCAACGGTGAAATTCACTGCCTGCTGTGCACTCGCAGGTGCAAAGAAGTAATAGCAAGACTTTTCTCTTATCACAAAAGATGATGGGCACTGGACTGGAAAATAATAAAGATATGGAGACCTAAGTTACATATCAAACTCATTTGTAGGAAATACTTCATTAAATACATTCACATCAAAAAATTGTAAATTATTTTGTGGATGTCACAAGTAAAATTTATTTTTGAAAAAAAAAGTGAATTTGTTTGAAATCAGTGAGTCATCACTGCTTTAATTATCTACATGTTTACATATTTGATAACTGTGTGTTCATGAAATACCAGACCAGCTATGATAACTGTGTGTTCATGAAATACCAGACCAGCTATGATAACTGGGTGTTCATGAAATACTAGACCAGATATGATAACTGTGTGTTCATGAAATACCAGACCAGCTATGATAACTGTGTGTTCATGAAATACTAGACCAGGTATGATAACTGTGTGTTCATGAAATACCAGACCAGCTATGATAACTGTATGTTCATGAAATACCAGACCAGCTGTGATAACTGTGTGTGGCTCATGTCTCTTTGCTGTAGAATACTTACACTTGCAAACATAGGTTCCAACAAGATTTGAGCAATTAAATCCAGCCTGGCATGAATGAACTCCTGTGGCACATTCGTCAACATCTGAAATGATACAAATCAGTTTCATCAGCGGGGATTCTAATGTGAAGTTTTCAGATAAATGGATATGGCAGTACAACTGACTACCATAAGTTTATCACAGCCAGCCAATCTAATCTCTCAATTGTCACACACACACACACACACACACACACACACACACACATCTTCCATAAGACTGCATGGGCATGGTGAGCTTATCACAGTCAGCCAATCTTATCTCTCAGTTATCACACAAGCACACAACTTCCATAAGACGGACTGGGCATGGTGAGCTTATCACAGTCAGCCAATCTTATCTCTCAGTTATCACACAAGCACACATCTTCCATAAGACTGCATGGGCATGGTGAGCTTATCACAGTCAGCCAATCTTATCTCTCAGTTATCACACAAGCACACACCTTCCATAAGACTGACTGGGCATGGTGAGCTTATCACAGTCAGCCAATCTTATCTCTCAGTTATCACACAAGCACACATCTTTCATAAGACTGACTGGTGAAGTAAATGGCTGGTGTAAGCTCAGGTCTATACTTTACCATCACATGAATGTTTATCTGGGTTCAGCTCATATCCCGGCCTGCATGTGCACTGGTAGCTGCCCGCCGTGTTCTGGCACAGGTGTGTGCATTTGCCGTTGTTTTGGTTGCATTCATTCACATCTGAAATACAAAAATCAAGATGTTCTTAAGAGAAAATTGTTTTCAATGTTGGATGTAAACCCTCCTTTGAAAGTGATTATTATCTATTTTTAAAAAATATATCTTATCTGATATTGAAATCTATATACAGCTGATGTTTTTGTCTTCAAGTTTTCATCCTTTATTGCCAATTTTGTGTGGGTATTTTTTTTGTTTTGAACTCTGATAAATATCTTGGCAATCCTTGGATAAATAGTTGCTGGTTCATTTAAAATCCCTTCAAAAAATGGACAGACAATTTTGAAAATAAGGCAGGGGAAACATGTATAGCAGATAAATTTTCAGGTGAAAATATGCTCTCTCCTACAGTGTTAACCAATGAAATAAACCAGGACTGATGTAACCATGGCAACTAGCACCTACCAATACAATCTGTGTCCTGCTTTGTATGTAACCATGGTTACTAGCACCTACTCATACAATCTGTGCCCTGCTTTATGTAACCATGGTTACTAGCACCTACTAATACAATCTGTGCTTTTATGTAGCCATGGCAACTAGCACCTACCAATACAATCTGTGCTTTTATGCAGCCATGGCAACTAGCACCTACCAATACAATCTGTGCCCTGCTTTACGAAGCCATCTTGACATTTACAGTCATAACTTCCTGCTGTGTTCTCACAGATCTGTGGGCAGCCACCATTGTCTACACTACACTCATTGATATCTGCAAAAGGAAAAAAAAACCATTGTCATTAAATAAAGTTTACAATGATTGTTAGACCTTTGAAATTATATAGCAAAGAAAAAATTATAATTTGCCTAAAAGTTTTGACAGTTTTCTCTTTATTACCAATGTTACCCAATCCGAAAAAGCTTGAAAAAATATCACTTGATAAACAGGCTCTATTTACAAAATTGCAGTTACTTTTATGATTCAGAGCTGTGGCATAAAATGTGTTCCCACAGATTTAGATTGATTAATCTGGATCGACCTAACTCCCTGTGGGTTCACGCTAAATTGCTGTCAGCTTCCGGGAGCCAAGCGCGCACAAAAGTTAAATACCCCCTTACAGCTTTTAGTAGGCGGGACAGACATTTAAGCCAGTTAAGCTGACAGCAATCTAGAGAGACTCCCCAGGGGGACAGATCGATCTAAATAACTGTGGGAATGGCCTCTTAGTGATTGCAAATGACAAATAAATGCCTTAAACCTTTATTTCTTGGTGCAATTGTAGCAACACTTGTCACTAGCCCTGCTTGAAATAACATATATACCCAATAAAAAATCTCTAGAGTAGTTTGAAATAAAATACCCCATCACAAACCTATGTTTTGAAATCACATATGTCAGTTCATTGCTTATGAGCTCTGAACCCAAATCACTACACATATAGATCAGTAGCAGAGCATATTTAAATGATTTACATCAAGATCTAGTTCTCATACCATCACACATTCTAAAGTCAGGGTTCAGTGTGTACCCAGTCCGGCAAGCACAGTTATATGTTCCTTGCGTGTTAACGCATGTTTGTTGACAGCCGTGGCCTGGCTGGATGCACTCATTTATATCTGAAAATAGAAGATTGAAAGAGGAAATCAAATCTTTCCCAAACCCTGGGTTGTACATAAATGACACTTAATTACTGAGGTCACAGCTTTTTTTGAGAGCCCCCCCCCCCATCTGAACCTGCCCAATCCGTTATTTCAAAAGGGAAATCCTAAGTAACAGGGGCAGATCCAGAGATATCTTCTTACAGTCTGCCGGATTATCTTTGTCAATCCATCCTCCATTTTTGATTGTCTTCCAACAGAAAAAATTAAATACCCCTCAATGTAAACGTAAAAAACTGACTGTCTTCCAGGAGACAGTCTAAATCCGTCCCCGAGTAAACTGACCACTTCAGACCAGTCCCAATANTTCCATAAGACTGACTGGGCATGGTGAGCTTATTGCAGTCAGCCAATCTTATCTCTCAGTTATCACACAAGCACACATCTTCCATAAGACTGACTGGTGAAGTAAATGGCTGGTGTAAGCTTAGGTCTATACTTTACCATCACATGAATGTTTATCTGGGTTCAGCTCATATCCCGGCCTGCATGCGCACTGGTAGCTGCCTGCCGTGTTCTGGCACAGGTGTGTGCATTTGCCGTTGTTTTGGTTGCATTCATTCACATCTGAAATACAAAAATCAAGATTTTCTTAAGAGAAAATTGTTTTCAATGATGGATGTAAACCCTCCTTTGAAAGTGATCATCATCTATTTTTAAAAAATATATCTTATCTGATATTGAAATCTAAACACCTGATGTTTTTGTCTTCAAATTTTCATCCTTTATTTCCAATTTTGTGTGGGTTTTTTATTTCTTTTAACAAGTAATTTATTTTTTGTTTTGAACTCAAACAGGGCTGATCAATATCTTGGCAATCCTTGGATAAAGTTGATGGTTCATTTTAAATCCCTTAAAAAATGGACAGACAATTTTGAAAATAAGGCAGGGGAAACATGTACCGTAGATAAATTTTCAGGTAAAAATACTCTCTCTCCTACATGTCAGTGTTAACCAATAAACCAGGACTGATGTAGCCATGGTTACTAGCACCTACCCATACAATCTGTGCCCTGCTTTTTATGTAACCATGGTTACTAGCACCTACCCGTACAATCTGTGCCCTGCTTTATGTAACCATGGTTACTAGCACCTACCCATACAATCTGTGCCCTGCTTTTTATGTAACCATGGTTACTAGCACCTACCCATACAATCTGTGCCCTGCTTTATGTAACCATGGTTACTATAGCATCTACCCATACAATCTGTGCCCTGCTTTATGTAACCATGGTTACTAGCACCTACCAATACCATCTGTGCTCTGCTTTATGTAGCCATGGCAACTAGCACCTACCGATACAATCTGTGCCCTGCTTTATGTAGGTTATGGCAACCAGCACCTACCAATACAATCTGTGCCCTGCTTTATGTAGCCATGGCAACTAGCACCTACCAATACAATCTGTGCCCTGCTTTTTGTAGCCATGGCAACTAGCACCTACCAATACAATCTGTGCCCTGCTTTATGAAGCCATCTTGACATTTACAGTCATAACTTCCTGCATTGTTCTCACAGATCTGTGGGCAGCCGCCATTGTTTACACTACACTCATTGATATCTGCAAAAGGAACAAAAACCATTGTCATTCAATAAAGTTTACAATGATTGTTAGACCTTTGAAATTATATATCAAAGAAAAAATAATTTGCCTCAAAGTTTTGACAGTTTTCTCTTTATTACCAATGTTTACCCAATCTGAAAAAGCTTGAAAAAATATCACTTTATAAACAGGCTTTATTTACAAAATTGCAGTTACTTTATAGTTTGAAATCACATACCTAATCACAAACATGTGGCTTGGAATTATTTATCCAATCACAGACTTATGGTTTAAAATCACATATCCTATCACAAACCTGTGGTTTGGAATTACAAACCCAATCACAAACCTAGCTGTGGCTTGAAATCACACATGGCAATTATTGCTTTTGAGTCCTGTTACATGTAATTCTGTTTTGAATATTAGATTTTTTATTTTACCTGTCACTAGTAACTGGTGGATTTACACATAGGATTCCTTAGCATTGGGCAAAATTTAAAAAAAAAATCTTGTAAATCATTTTTACGTCCTTAAATGATTATCACCGTTTTTAAATTACTGGACACATTCTATACACTTGTATTTCTTACATATACTATTAAAATTCATCCTAATTTCAAAATGTCCAATGAAGATATATTTCATGATACTTAATAAAATGAATCTTTTTATATTTGACAGTTTTTGAGGTTTTCTTGATTTTTATCAACAATGACAATTACTTCCAGTAAAGCCCTAAAGGACAAGATTCCATCATTTTCCTAAAAAACCAAATCACTACACATATTGATCAGTAGCAAAGCATATTTAAATGACATCTTTACATCAAGATCTAGTTCTCATACCATCACACATTCTAAAGTCGGGGTTCAGTGTGTACCCAGTCCGGCAAGCACAGTTATATGTTCCTTGCGTGTTAACGCATGTTTGTTGACAGCCGTGGCCTGGCTGGATGCACTCATTTATATCTGAAAATAGAAGATTGAAAGAGGAAATTAAATCTTTCCCAAACCTTGGGTTGCACAGAAATGACACTTTTAAATAATTGAAATTATCGAGGTCACAAGTTTTTCTGAGAGCCCCCCATCTGAACCTGCCCAATCCGTTATTTCAAAAGGGAAATCCTAAGTAACAGGGGCAGATCCAGAGATATTTTCTTACAGTCTGCCGGATTATCTTTGTCGATCCATCCTCCATTTTTGACTGTCTTCCAACAGAAAAAATTAAATACCCCTCAATGTAAACGTAAAAAAATGACTGTCTTCCAGAAGACAGCCTAAATCCTTCCCCGAGTAAACTGACCACTCCAGACCAGTCCCAATTAAGATCTCATATCCAGCACTGGTCACTCACCTCTACATGTGTGATTGTCATCTTGAAGGGTTAACCCTGCAGGACAAGGACACACATAACCTCCTGGAGTATTCACACAGCACTGGTCACTCACCTCTACATGTGTGATTGTCATCTTGAAGGGTCACTCACCTCTACATGTGTGATTGTCATCTTGAAGGGTCAACCCTGCAGGACACTGGCACACATAACCTCCTGGAGTATTCACACAGCACTGGTCACTCACCTCTACATGTGTGATTGTCATCTTGAAGGGTCACTCACCTCTACATGTGTGATTGTCATCTTGAAGGGTCAACCCTGCAGGGCACTGACACTCATAACCTCCTGGAGTATTCACACAGCACTGGTCACTCACCTCTACATGTGTGATTGTCATCTTGAAGGGTCACTCACCTCTACATGTGTGATTGTCATCTTGAAGGGTCACTCACCTCTACATGTGTGATTGTCATCTTGAAGGGTCACTCACCTCTACATGTGTGATTGTCATCTTGAAGGGTCACTCACCTCTACATGTGTGATTGTCATCTTGAAGGGTCACTCACCTCTACATGTGTGATTGTCATCTTGAAGGGTCACTCACCTCTACATGTGTGATTGTCATCTTGAAGGGTCACTCACCTCTACATGTGTGATTGTCATCTTGAAGGGTCACTCACCTCTACATGTGTGATTGTCATCTTGAAGGGTCACTCACCTCTACATGTGTGATTGTCATCTTGAAGGGTCACTCACCTCTACATGTGTGATTGTCATCTTGAAGGGTCACTCACCTCTACATGTGTGATTGTCATCTTGAAGGGTCACTCACCTCTACATGTGTGATTGTCATCTTGAAGGGTCACTCACCTCTACATGTGTGATTGTCATCTTGAAGGGTCACTCACCTCTACATGTGTGATTGTCATCTTGAAGGGTCACTCACCTCTACATGTGTGATTGTCATCTTGAAGGGTCACTCACCTCTACATGTGTGATTGTCATCTTGAAGGGTCACTCACCTCTACATGTGTGATTGTCATCTTGAAGGGTCACTCACCTCTACATGTGTGATTGTCATCTTGAAGGGTCACTCACCTCTACATGTGTGATTGTCATCTTGAAGGGTCACTCACCTCTACATGTGTGATTGTCATCTTGAAGGGTCACTCACCTCTACATGTGTGATTGTCATCTTGAAGGGTCACTCACCTCTACATGTGTGATTGTCATCTTGAAGGGTCACTCACCTCTACATGTGTGATTGTCATCTTGAAGGGTCACTCACCTCTACATGTGTGATTGTCATCTTGAAGGGTCACTCACCTCTACATGTGTGATTGTCATCTTGAAGGGTCAACCCTGCAGGACACTGGTACTCATAACATCCGGAGTATTCACACAGCACTGGTCACTCACCTCTACATGTGTGATTGTCATCTTGAAGGGTCACTCACCTCTACATGTGTGATTGTCATCTTGAAGGGTCACTCACCTATACATGTGTGATTGTCATCTTGAAGGGTTAACCCTGTAGGACACTGGCACTGATAACCTCCAGGAGTATTCATACAGCTGTGGCTACACGGCTTCATCTCAAGGCATTCATCTATGTCTACAATAATATTAAACTTTGACCTTAAAAAGTCCTTAAAACACACCTGCAGAAGGTTTTTTTTTTTACTTTGTGCACGTTGCACAGATATACATGTCAATTTTTAAGGTATGCTTAATAATTCAAAAGTAAAGATACATGTACATATAGGTTTGCATGTTAAGGGCTTGACATAAATTGCTGACCAATATATACATTCACAAGCACGTGAAAACACATACACACTCACCCATGCACAAATTTGCATACAGACTCACACACACATGCCGACTCACATTCATGCACACACACACACACTTCACAAAAAAGCTGTGCACCAGCTGGCTTAATGGAATAGATGCATCCTAAGAGATATTTTCTTCTGATAAAAGTTAGGGTTCACCAATTGTATACTCAATCAAACAGTCAGTTATCTCATGGTACATGTTCTTCTAATAAAATACCAAAAGACTGATTGGTGGCATCAAAACAGTCAGCTATAATAGCAAAGTAAGCAATGCTAAATTCACTGTAGCCATCTGAGTCACCTTAGCCATCACATGTAAGTCACCTTAGCAATACGAACAGTTTGAGGTGAATTTTACAATGCAAATGAAGTCACAGACTCCGCGCTTTACCTCTGCACCGTCCGTCCTCGCCATCCAATGTGAATCCAGGGCGACAAGAGCACTGGTAGCTGCCAAATGTGTCTGTGCAAATCTGGTCACAAATACCCGGCCTTTCACACTCATTGACATCTGGGGTGTTAAAAATGTTCATAATAAGGATGAAATCAATGCTATATCCTAATTATGGTACAGTTGGTTATATGACCTAATTATGGTACAGTTGGTTATATGACCTAATTATGGTACAGTTGGTTATATGACCTAATTATGGTACAGTTGGTTATATGACCTAATTATGGTACAGTTGGTTATATGACCTAATTATGGTACAGTTGGTTATATGGCCTTACTGTGGCATATATATATAGATTCTAATATGGGGTTGTGGTTGGAATTTAAGAAGGGAAGTGTCTTCCCATCAATACATTTTGAATTTTACCTTATTAGCAATAGCTATATGTTGTATATATAATTATCATGAATTATTCTACTAAGTTAATTATAGGATTGGATATAAGATTGTATATGTACGTGTATTTTCCTTTTACTATGTCAAAACTTGGAAATTACTGCTAGTTACCTTACCTTCAAACCATGCTGCAACTCCTGTAAGAGTGCAGTCAGAGCAGTGGACTTCCAGATCCACAGATTAAATATGGCCGACCCACTTGACTACTTGTAGCATAATCCCTGCAGGAATGTGTTAAACCGGGAATTAAGCCGCAAGGTTTTAAGTGGGTTGTCATATTTATTCACGGCTCTGTCAGTCTTCTGTCCTATATGCCTTCTTAAGGAGCTGTCAGAACATGTTGATCTGCAGATCGACTAACAGACCTGTGGATCAAATTTGTCTGACCCAGCTTATCTCTTAATTGTCTCCCCACCTTCCATGCACACCAGCCCTATAGGGGGCGCTAGCAATTAAACAGATTAAATTGCTAGGATCCTACAGGGCTATAGTGCCTGTGACAGGCGGGGGGACCATGAGGGGATTAGCAGCTGTGCTTTAAAGTGCCCTATTTGAGCCACAGACAAGTAAGTCAGCAGATCATCTGTTTTGCATGTGGATTAACACAAACATTATCCAATAATACTTACTGTTACATGGACTGTTAGGTCCCGAAGCTTGGAACCCCTTCTTGCATGTACATGTGTACGAGCCAGGCGTGTTCATACACGTGGCATGCGGCCCACAGCTATCTATCTGCTCCGCACACTCATCAATATCTTAGGAGAACAAAATAAACTGCAGTCATTTTATAACAACATTCAAATAATACACATAAGTAAAATATTAATCTAAAATGAACATTTAAATCATTGTTTCTATATTGCTAAAATTCTGTGAATGTTGTCACAAAAGTTGTTTGTTCTCTTTTTTGTCATTGATTAATTTTAGGTTCATTACTACATATGGCTGTATTTGTATGAGCAGTTCATTCAGAATATTGTTGGGAAATTCATCTGGGAGTAAAAAGTTGGTGTCAAAATTATTATAAACATGTCGGTTTAGGTTCCACAGACATATACCATTTTACATGGCTAATTTTCCAGCTGTTCAAATATCTAGAATCCTTCAGTTGCAGAAATCAAAACTTGTGTCCACTAGATGCATGTATTCTAAATAACTGCAAGTCAGGGCAGTCTTAAACCACTGTCACAATCAACAGTTCACAGTACAAACCTACCTTCACAAGACACTTTGTTAGCAAGTAGAGTGTATCCTGTTACACAGCCGCACATGTAGCTACCAGCTGTGTTTTTGCACGTGCCAATGACAGGAGCACATGGACCATCGGCACACTCATCTACATCTGGAATAATAATAATAATAATAATAATAATAATAATAATAGTAGTAGTGGTAGTAATAATAATAATATTAATGTGAGATCATCTACCGTAAAGATAGGGAACTGTTGAGGTCCATAACAGTCCTGCAAGTACAAGATACTTAAAGAGACAGAGATAGTCATAATAAATTTAAACTAATGATGTCACAGACTTACCCACACACTGTCCATCATCTTGTTTCTGGTATCCTCTGTCGCACCTGCAGTTAAAGGAGCCCTCGGTGTTTTCACAAGTGCTGTGCAGGGGACACACGTCTCCTTGACACTCATCAACGTCTTCATTGCAGAGAGGGGGACCAGAAAATATGTTCACTTTAATTTCTATTTTCAAATGTGCAGAATTATCTAACAACAACAGATTATGATCATGATAGCTATTTCATCAATTTAATTAATATGTAAAACAAGGCAGCAAAGCTGTCAAATGTACAGACAAAAAGCAGAAAATAAAAATGCAGAAAATAGAATACTGTCAATTCATAAAAATTATATTACATCATGGAATATGCCAGGGAGATTATAATACAGGTAAATATATATCAAGATAATGCAAAACAGATTCAGTCCTGGTCACTTGCGGTCAGTAAGTAACAACATCTTACATCAGTCTGATGAAGACCTACGGCCAGGTTGGCCGTAAGCTAATGGTATGAAAGATCTTTGGCTTGTGTTTAATAATTTTCATTTATGATATATCAAGGTCAAGTAAAACAGCTTCATAACTTCAAATAACCACCAGACCTTGGCATGTTTTGTTGTCCCTGGCCAACACGTATCCCTCAAAACAGCTGCACTTGAAGCTGCCACGGACATTTTCACACACCTGGGCGCAGTCATTGCTGTCACCACATTCATCAAAATCTGGAAAAAGGAATCTAAAATTTAAAATGTCGGCAATTTGCATTTTATAAAAAACAGCACCAATCAGCTCATCCATATCTTACAATAGTGACTTGTAATCAATTACCATTCCAATACTTCAGTTCGGAACTTCTATAAAGTAATACTGGGTTTCTCAATGTGGAATTCAGTGAACAGATGCACTCATTTTCTGTCATTGTTCAAGTCTGATGGTATTCACTGATATCATATCAGGTTGTGAAGAAGGGGTTTTCCCAATATATGAAGATATAAAGCCTAAAGAAAAGTGTAAAAACATACTGTTATTTTAAGCTGAATTAGCTTTTGGGATGCACAGTTATTATAAATGGAACATGTTCCCATATTCTTACACTGTATTAGCTAGTAATCAGACTTTGTGAATTTATGAAGAACACTTGTAGTAAAGAAACCATTGCCACTGTGCTATGTTCATATTGGTCAGCCCCCCCTTTCCACCCTGTACCTCTGCAGGTTAGTTTGTCATCCCGTAGAGCAAAGCCGCTATTACAGGTGCACTTGTAAGAGCCCACTGTGTTGGTACAGCCCTGCTCACAGCTGTGGCTCCCGTCTTCACATTCATCTACATCTGTAAAACAAAAACCATATATGTGATATGTATCAGGCACAGGTCTATCAACTTTGATGCACAGTTCAAAGGTCCAGAACAGAAGTGCACAAAGAGGTAAGTGAATCTTGAGATATTTTTCAAATGTAAAGAAAAGATCACTGCAGCCAGATTAGTATGTACACACAGTAACTACATGGACATATGTTAATGGGCGTTTTCCTTTGTCCCAAATTTGCCCTTAAAAGATTGCTGAGGTACTGAGTTTACTTCTGCCCCTATCCCGGGTCGCCCAATGCCAGTCTGCTGTAGTTACCATGGCAGCGTCCATCGGTCCCCAGAACAAAGCCAGGATTGCAGGAGCACATGTAACTGCCCACAGTGTTTGTGCAGACCTGGTCACATAGGGGAGGCGTGATGGCGTCGCTGCATTCGTTGTCGTCTGGAAGTGGAATTGTACACTTTGTATCACATGAAGGTGCAGAAAGAAAGATTCATTATAAATCAAGCATAAGTACTTAGTAATTAGAGAGGAATCTTCAAAATATGGCAACTTGTAATCATAGCAGAACTAAGGATGACGGATGCACAATATGGCTGACAGAAAGGACACCAAGATATGGACATAGGCAACAAGGGAAGCCTCATCAGAGATGGAGAGATGAATTAGACAAGTTCTGGAAAGTAGCCAAACTGGAAGTCTAAAGACAGAATTAATACACTGGAAGCAGCATGCTGTGGCCCTTTTTTTCAATAGTGAAACACTTTGGGCTTTGAATGATGACAATGATGATTATGATGATGATGGTGATAATCATACGAGTAAAAAAAAAAAAAAACTCTCATGTCCTTTCCTATACCATCTACTTACCAACACAGGCTGATCCAGATGCCACAAATCCTCTCATACAGGTGCACTTACCAACACAATCTGATCCAGATGCCACAAATCCTTTCATACAAGTACACTTACCAACACAAACTGATCCAGATGCCACAAATCCTCTCATACAAGTACACTTACCAACACAGGCTGATCCAGATGCCACAAATCCTCTCATACAAGTACACTTACCAACACAATCTGATCCAGATGCCACAAATCCTNAGACCCAACAAACAAAATTGCTGTGGTTTTTACACCGATTGCTCCTCATTTGTGTCTGTTGGTTTGATAGGTAGTGTATGTTAACCATGTGAGACTATTCTTATGTTGAGTGTAATATTTCGGAGCAAAGCACCGTTTTGGGCGCCTGACTTCACAAATAAAGTACTGCAGGCTGGCTTTGCATATCAAATTTTTCATTTTGGTCTCATTGGAATTACAGGGATGATCATGGTAGAATCACTTTGAGGAGCTATAATATTTGATTTGGTCGTATTCATATTGCCAGGAAGTTAGTGCTTGCTGTCAAATAGTGGATCGATTGAATGATATTGTCATTGAAGGGCTTTGTCGAAATAGGTGGCATTGATTGATTATGAAGTCAGACTGCAGTCTTTAAAGAGTTTTTATTAAATATAGCTTGGTCACATTATTATAAATTTGTAGCAAGATTTCAAACACTCAGAAATGCCTTGAAATAAAGGTGAGACAGCATTATTCTGTCCAAGTTGATTATGTTCCGTTTGCAAGAGCTGATAACTCGGTGTTACAGACATGTTTTTAGTTTCCCAGTACGTGTATTTGATACAGGTATTTTAAATTGAGAAAATGTAGGCTAGGTACACACTTGATACTTACTTTAGAATGCACTGTGACTCAGGAAAATGCAAGGACTTTTTTCTTTGCTTTGACAAGTTTATCATTGATGTACATAATTCAGATTTGGATTTGGTTGGCACAACCCAGTTATTTGACCAAAAGAAAATGTTTTAGAAGTGTGAGGTTAATAAGTATGTGGCTTTGATTGGAAAAAAGAAATCAGCTTGATCACATTCAAAATTATCTTTTCAGTTTGCTTGAAATATGTAGATCTGTCCATACTTGATTGTGTGTTTTTAATGCTGCAGTTCAGTTTGACATACATCTTTGCTTTAATTTCGTCTTTTTATGTTAGAGTGCACTTCCAGATAGTCATTTAAATGTTGACTTAAATCAGTAGAGGATATTAAGATCATATCAACAGCAAATGGTATATTTTCAAATTTGAAGTTTTTATCTGCCCCTTGTTTCTCAGGGTGTTGACTGTGGCCCCCAAGATGCCTAAAGCTGCATCCAAGGGAGCCAAGCTGGTGTACCCTGCGGGGTGCAAGGAAGTCTCTGGAGACATGAACAAGGAAGAACTGGTCAAGAGACTGAAGGTCAGTTGTGGTCATTTGGAGTCTGTATGATTCATTTTTGGGCTGATTGTAACATGACATGGATGGACGTTATTGTTAATTTTTTCTCCTTGTTGAATAATAAATTTTGAAAATAGTAGGATGTAATATTGTATGTGAAATTTTGAAAACATTTTAGTGGAGAAATATACATACTAGTATATATTTTTTTCATGTAAACATCGTGTTCTCATTTCTGATTACAATCATTGGGTTGTTTTGTGTTGATCTTTTTGTCCTTGTTAACTCTTTGGTCACTTAATATGACATTTTCTTTAAATGGCACTAAGGCAGAGTTCCTACCATTTCTAATGGTTTTGTTGTAATTCCAGGCATTGGCTAGGGCCTTTCAGGACATGGGACAGGATGATAATGAGAAGTACACGGAATTGGCCCTCCACCTTGCCTCAGAGTTCTTCATAGATCACAGCAGCAAGGATGTGCGCCTGCTTGTGGCCTGCTGCATTGCGGACGTGTTCAGAATTTTTGCTCCAGAGGCACCATACACCAATCAGGATCAGTTAAAGGTTTAAAAGCTTGATTTGTTTTATTTAGGATTATTTAGATGTATATTTGAGATGAATTGTGTAGAGATAAAAAGACTTTCTGATTTATCTAGATATTTTGGGTGTTGTATTTATACTTGAACCCCACCCCATCCCCCAATTATGTAAAGAAACTTTTGTCTTGCAGGAAATTTTCCTGTTTTTGATCAAGCAGCTACGGGGACTGGATGACCCAGAGGCACCACAGTTCAAGAGATATTTTTACCTTCTAGAGGTATGAATTAAAGGCTTGTCATTCATTTCTCTGCTAAATAATTAAAAGTGATGTGTCGCAGAGTTCTAGGGCCTTTCTGTAGTATTTGTTCATAAGAGGTCACTCTCCTGCTTTAGCATTTACGGTAATTCTCCAATCTATACGAACGCCGCAATAATTACGAACGAAACGTTTTTTCTCTGAAACTGAATTTTTTGTCTCCGTTCTGTACGAACGATCGCTAAACCCACCTCGGGCACAATTTAATTTTCCGAATGCAAGAAAGTGTGCCCAAGTGAAACTCGCCCCATGATTCGTCAAAGCCAGTTTTCAGACCACTGTTCCAAACAAAGGAACTGCCACTTGACAGGAGAGATTGTTATCATGTATTTGTGCTGTTTTTGAATGAGACGATAGAAGGACTCAACCTGCCCGCCGGCAGCTGCAGACCAGTTTTAAAACCCTATTGTTATTTAAAAATTATTGAAAGCATCAGTACACATAAATTACTTACTGTTTATTATCATTTCTTAACTTCTGCCGGCCGACTGGATCATCAACATCCACCATCGGTGTTTCACCGATAACTGGTTTCCAGTAAAATCTACAAACGTGAAACCCACGCACAACAGAAGAGTACGAGAAATCCAAAGTCGATGATCGAGTTTTTCATTTGTTTTTGGTAGTCATTAGGAAATTTAATTTTCTAAGAGGAGTTCTGTCTTATATTGTATTTATTTTTCTAATATGAGTTGTGATAAAGTTCATGCCTTGTCTCATGAACAACTATTAGGTAAACGTTACTGATATTGGTGATTGTGAAAAATAAAGGTGACTTTATACAAATTTGCCTGCAGTTTTCTGTATTTTTTCTAATTAAGTTTACGTTGATTGCGTGCAAATTAATATGCTGTAAAAGACTTTCATAAATAAACGTGAATTGAGCTGATGTTATTTTTTATATCAAGTATAATCTCTATTAACGTCAGTGATATCTACTGTGGGGAGTTTCAAGTATTTTGTTTTGGTGGAAGAAATTTATGTAGGCCTAATTTGGGGGGAGGGGTGTCATTATTAATATTGCAAATTTTCTATATGTGGAATCATATTAAAAGTAAACACGCAGTAAATAAAATATGCAACGGGATACGCAAATATTCTTGTCTGTTTTGGACAGAAGTTGGGAAAAACGATGTTGTCCTGTCTAGGTAAAATATAACAGGGAAAAACGATGTTGTCTTGTCTTGGGAGAAATGTACCTCTTTAGTATGAAGACATTGTTTCTTAACTTGAATTCCCGACTTTTGTTTAGTTTGTTTTAATTCATTGCAATATCGCAAGAATAATTTGTTTGTGCTAAAAGCTGATCACAGTGATTTAATCTGAAAGTAATGCTTACACTTAGCGATGTAGGTAAGTGGAGATAACTTCCGGTACAGCCGTATTCCATTCGTATTTCAATGGATACGAACGCGTGGCAATTTTTAGCAGACTGAATTTTAAGCCTTACGAACAAAATGATTATCTTCCAAAAATAATTAATTTAAATCGTTCGTATAGATTGGAGAATTACCGTATCATTGACTTGGGTGAGAGCGCCTGGAAGAAGAGAAATGTGTGTCACATGTGAGACTTTTGATCATTTGATTGCGATGTCCTGTGCGCTGGAGGGTCTTTAATCTTTCCTTATGATTAAATCAAATTGAGGAATTCTTCTTTTTTTCGTTCTAATTATTTTGTTTCAAACCTTATGAAATGATCTCTTTTCAGAACCTTGCCTGGGTTAAGTCATTCAATATCTGCATTGAATTGGAGGACAACCAGGAAATTTTCTGCAGTCTCTTCAAACTGATGTTTGACATAATCAAGTAAGGGAAAGTTGTTGACCATATTCAGGATATAAGTGCGTTTATTTATGAAAAATATTCAAAATAAATCATTGGACTAACTATAAATAATTTTGTTTGAATCAAAAAGTTTAAGAATTTCAGTCCAGTTTTGTGAAGAAAATTTCAATTATTTTATCACAGTCACCAGCAAATACTGATTGACTGTATACTTTTCATGACTATTTCAGTGACAAGCACACGGCCAAAGTGAAGAACTTTATGCTGGACATGATGTGTCCTCTCATAGCTGAGGCAGACAGTGTGTCCCAAAAGCTACTGGACATCATTTTAGTTAACATCATTGAACCTTGGAAGGTAAATTAAAATTTTTTGATTTTTGAAAACTTTTGGGTCCATGTTGAGAATATAGTATCACTATGTTGTTGATTTTTACAGTTAATCTCTTGAAATAGCTTTGTCCTTATCAACCTGTTGTAAAAGACTACTATTATCATGTATTATTATTGATATCTTGGAAGTTAGAATAATTTTATATAAATATGCTCCTTTTGGTATATTATATTATATTCAAAAGAAGCACAGTATGCCATATACCAGCAAAAAAAGTAAAGCACTAAAGCTTCATTCAGTAAAGTCACAGCTCATCTTGAACATCAGGTTTGCACAGAAGATATTATTGTTTAGCAGACAACCATTGATCCCAAGTTTTGCTGCAGTTTTGTTCTTGTTTACTGTACAAATTATTAACATTACACCATGGTCCCATATTTAGTGTCATGTGATTTAAGGCAGAAAATTGCCCATGTGGTACGAAATAAGCAATGGAAACCTAAATGTAGCTGGACTAAAAATAGTAAATTACATTTTGTTCTTATTTTGATAGTTACTGCTGTGTAAATAATGTCTTCCTTACTGAGTTATTATGTCATTGTTTGTATAACTTTCCAGAGTCAGAACCGCCAAGCATATGACTTAGCTAAAGACTTGATCAAACGCACATCAAATGCCATTGAACCCTACATTCAAACTGTAAGTTATAGAAGTCTTTGTATTTTAACAGTTGCATATTACAATGTTAACATTATTTTTGAAAAAAATTGTCAGTGCTGTTTGTTGGGTCATCCCTTTTTTGTTTTGTGTAAACACACCTGTATGTTTGTAAGCTATAAATTTCTGAATTGTTGAACACAGTGTTGAATCAATGACTTTGCAATTTTTTACAATATTTACACCTGGTGTACATAATCACTTTTGCATTTGGTACTAGAAAGTTCTTCATGCTGTGTATGAACTTAAAAATTAATACTCAACAACTGTGCTTGCACCACATTTCAGTTTTTCAACAATGCTTTAATGCTGGGCAAGACCTCGGAGAGTGAAGTATCGGATCACATCTTTAAGCTGATCTACGAACTCAACATGATATCCCCCAGTATTCTTTTAGCTGTGTTACCACAGTTGGAGTTCAAACTTAAGGTAGGATTGGCAGGGTGATTATGGAAAAATAAAAAGAACAAAACCCAAGTGGCTGAGTAGAAAAATGAGAAAAATATTGAAATGTTAACCATTTTAAATACCACGTGCATAACACTGGGCTTGGAATTGATCAGACTGTGTAACAGTTTAATAACAAGAAATCTGCAGTTAGTGTTTCAGACCATTACTTCATTTATGTGGACTTGAAGAAGGCCAGATTTTTTTTATCTGAAAGATCTAACTGATTTTTGTGCAAAATTTCTTTTTTGAAACTCTGCCTAGTTTAAGTAAAATGAAAATTTTCAAAGTAACTAGTCTTATTTATTAATTGTAAGGTGGTTTTGATTATTTTCCATAATCTGTAGTTGTCATCTTGCCACTAATTTTGATATGGGCCAAACACTTTATCAGGCCCACTAGTTCAAGTAACCTTTGCAAGTGACACAGACTGTTTATGTTGTAATTATTTTCAATATTTCAGAGTAATGATGAGGGTGAAAGAAAGGCAGTCACCAAGTTGTTGGCACGTATGTTTTCAGACACAGACTCGGACCTTGCTGTTCAAAACAAGCCACTGTGGCTGTGCTTTTTAGGGAGGTACGATCTCTCTGTTGTGTTGTTCATTGCCTTGTTTAGTGTCCAGTCACATACATTCTCAATATGATATAGATATGACACAGTTTTTATAAATTCATTTGTAAAGTTTTATTGCATTATTAATAGCTAGTTACATCTGTGTACTAAATAATTTTTAGCTAACAGATGGCCTGAATTTCTTGTCCCTTTGTGAACTTCTTGTCCATGTGCAAGGTTGCTGTCACACTGTATGTAGTTGCATCTATGCTGAACAAAATAATATGTACATAATATACCAAAGTATACAATTATATGACAGATTTCTTTTCTATTTATCGAATCTTGATAACTAATATTTTGAAATGTGTTTTTCATTATTTTATATGTTGAATCAAAAATGTTTGGCTTAATTACTTTTCAGGTATATTTCCCTATTACAATCTCTCACAACAGGTTATATCTCCATATCATGAATGGTTTTAATTCAGGATGACTACCAATTTATCCAAATAAATCACAATTACATCTGATCAAAATGATTATATTTTCTTTTGGCAGTGTTAAATATTTCAAGTATTTTGTTGTTTTTTTCACATTTAGATTTTTTCAAGTATTTTGTTTTCTCCACATTTAGATTTAATGATATCAGTGCGTCAGTGAGGACTATATGTGTGCAGTACAGCCAGCAGTTTTTGATTAACCACCCAGCTCTGAGGGGAGACATGACAGGTAATTTGACCTTAGCACATATTTTATGGCAGGTAATGTGACCTTCAGGTCCACCTGTTTTATGTCAGGTAATGTGACCTTCAGGTCCGCTTGTTTCATGTCAAGTAATGTGACCTTCAGGATTTCCCATTTCATGAGAGATGATGTGTTCTTCAGGTCATGTTACCTTTAGCACTACCCATATGTGACAGGTCATGAACTGGAGTACCACTTGTTTCATGACAAGAAGTATGACCTTTAGGTATACACCTACTTTATGATAGGTCTTGTAACCTTACTACCAATTTCGTGGTCACTAACGTGATGTTCAAATCTTTATCAACTTAATGTTGGGAGTTAAAGGAATTGAATGGGTGACAGCATGAAAAATGTACATCCACTCATTTACTGGCCTTTAAAACAAACAAAAAAAAAAGAAAACATGGAGAGTACATGACTTTGAAGTTTACAGTGCTTAATTCTTTCTCACTTTTTTGTAGAAAACTTGAAGCAGCGTCAACATGACCAGGAGGAGAATATTCGCTATGATGTTGTCCAGTCCATCATTGCCGCAGCCAAGAAAGACTTGCCTGGTATCAATGATGAACTGCTGGGTTTTGTCAAGGAGAGAACACTGGACAAGAAAGTAAGAGAAACATGTTCACTTTATCAGACTGAGGACCTCTTCTGAATAAATTAACACCGTTTTTCCAAAATAAATTAAAAAAAATTATATCCTGCTCTTTTAAAATCCTATCATGCTCTTAACATTCAACTTCAAATACTCTTTTTCTCTCAATTTTGATTTTATTCAAAACACATTGAATACTGAACAACATAAGTAGGATCAGCATTTATAATTGCCTTAGTTAAAAAAAAGGGGTATTTTTATGAAAACAATTTCATTAAAGAACTTTCACTTTGTTACATGCAGACCATTGTATGTCTTTTACCATGCCAAATATTAGATATATTTTAATGGTAAAAAGGGTTTTTCAATTCACCATTAAAGAGGTTCTTGATAATCTGAGTAGTGATTTTTCTGATTTTTATGGCTGAATGCAACACCCAGGAAATGTCATATATGACTGTTGTGACATAGTCCTCAGCCAAGAATAGCTGTTTTATTAAATGCATTTGGTTTGACTTGTAGTTCAAGGTGCGCCGTGAAGCACTGTTGGGGCTGGGGCACCTGTTTAAGAAGGTAATGTCCAAGTCTGAAGACACTGAAGAAAACAAGGAGCTGCGTAAGAGGGTGGACTGGATGAAGGACAGAGTGATCAATGGGTACTACCAGACCAATATAGAAGACAGGTAAGAGTGGGGGTAAAACTGATGAATTAAGTAATTGGGAAATATAATTCCCCACTTTTCTGACATTTCCAAGGGCTATCAGGTTAACTTAAATTTAATCCATCTTCAAAATACATGATAATTTATTTATCTGCAGTTCTGTAATTGTCGGAAGTTATGAGCTAGGTATGAATTGTAATAGAGATGGTAGCCTTATTAAGGAGTTCGAGTTGATAACAGTTAAGTTGTAGTTTTAGTGTGTATTTTCTACCAGTGCACGTGGCTTTTACTCTCCTGTATTTGGAGTCACTCTAAATATATTTTATTGTTTCTTTTCCAAGACTTGTTGTGGAGAGAATCTTCAACACGTGCCTTGTGCCATACATGCTGGATGTGAAGGAACGCATGAAGCGACTTTATTACTTGTATGCAACTCTAGACCAAAGTGCCATTAAGTGAGTGAAGAATGCCAGATATGGACAATATATAGATATGATAACGATTATGAAGTCATTTTTAGTGCTGACATTAGATTATATGCAGTTAAGATAAAGATAATTACCAAACAGAAAAAGTGCAAAATTCTTTAAGGATTTACTCCCAGTTAACTTATGAAATATTGATGGTATTGATATTTTTACCTCTGTTTGTGCATTTTTCATTGGGGGGTTTATCCAAAATTATTTTCAGTAAAAATTTTGCAGAATTTTTTTTCAGTACTTTCACTTCAATTATCAAGTCTGGGCTAACTCCAGCATTGACGAAATTGAACAATAAAAAAAAAGGAAGAAAAAAGTCATTTTCTTAAGTCATTGTAAAGTATGTTAGATGTTGGGGGAAATTTCCAAGGTTTCTGTATTACAGAGGGATTACAGATTTCATCTACTAGTCAACTTTTCCAGAGCACTGAATGAGCTGTTGAAGATGCAGTACAGTTTGAGGTGTCATGTCCGCGGCTTGTTAGACTTACACAGTAGAGATCTGCAGACAGCAGACAGTGTCAGCCTCATGATGTCCAAGGTTTATTTTCTATCAAGTAAGTAGAATATTAATATCAAAAGTACAAAAGGAGTGTAAGGCCTTGATATAAAAATATTAATATTCAGAAATGTCATATCCAGAAACATTAGTTCAAAATTTTCAACAAAAATGTTTAAGCAATATGTCAGTGGACACATTATATAACCTTCATTAGGCAAATTTTTACTTTATTTTGTAATTTGACATCACATGTATTAATACACCCCAGCCACCTTTACAGAAATAAACAAAAAATTGAAATTTTTCAAAAACATTTTCTCNGTTGCAGTAAAACTAAAATCTGTGCTTGTCAATGGGGCTTTCGATGTCTTTCCTCACGGTCGTCAAGGCATACGCTGCCAATGACGTTGGGGTGTCACGCGGATTTTCGCGTTCATTCGAGACCAAAGCAACAAATGGTGGCATAAGAGATAACGAAAAGTCCAGAACTGCACACATTGTAGATTTTAATGCAATTTTGAGCAATAAGACGAATACATCGTATGAATCTTATATTATTGTTATATAGTGTTGTAGCTGTCTGCTTTTCCGCGGTTTTAAGTAGGTCACCAGAACCTCTCGCTCGATATGGCGTGACTATGCAATGTCAGAGAGGGCTCCGAACCAAACTTCTAGGAAAAAAAACCTGGACTAACTATGAATGTAGGAATGGGTCGCTGACCATTGGTAAGTACGGAAAAATTCCCGTTTACACCAGGAAAATTTTTGGCCAAAACGAAGTTATTATGACTTTAATGTCTATTTCAATAATGACAGGTACACGCTGATCATACAGATAAAGTCCACTATGCTCTGAAATTCTGGAATCTTACCCTGAATCTCACTTCTTAATTCCCAGTTGGTTTGCAAAATATGGCATTTGACGTCTTAAAATTTAAGCGCAGTCGTTTGAAAGAAAATAAAAACAAATAAAAACAACAAAAGGTATCTAAATTGTTAAGAACTGTCCTTTTCTTTACTTCAAAACACTTACCGATCTGAAGAGACTTTTTTTGGCGCATATGAAACTGGTTTTGAACGGGAAACAGACAAAAAGAAATCTATCAAGTGTTATGATGAAGATGAGAACTGCAGCCCAGTCTGAGGTGAAAATGTCTGCAGTGAATAACGTGCTGCAAAGGGCACTTGTGAATCCAGTGAAATGTACTCTCTGATATAAATCAGTCATTATCCCTACCAATAATTCACTCACAGCTCTTAGGAAGTGCGCTATTCCAAGGGTGCAAGACAAGAAGGTCTTGGTTTCTGATCTTCCTTTCAGTTTTCGTTCGCCGCGCACAATAACGACCACTATGATAATGTTGCACAAAAAAGACAACGGACAGAGAATATACACACTATAAATGTATACTTTTACCATCGCGATAAAGTCTTTCATCTTCATAGCGGAACCGCTGGACAGCCAGATTAGACATTCAAATGGATCACTTTTTACCACCATTTCCAGGACACGTGGTTTGATTTTATCAACGTCCATTGCACATGCGAGCTTTGCCAGTTCCTGCGTGTTATTTAAAACTGCTGCAGGAAGTACACTGGGGCGAAATGGACAGGATAGACCTGGTTCGTGAGTTTTCCATAACTGCTCTGATACGTCTTGTCGAAGGCAAAGGTACAACTTCTTGTATTCTTGAGTATTTTCGGCCTGGCACTCTTCTTTGTTCATCTCGTACAGCACCGTGGCTGCGAATACCTCCTCTGACAACTCGACGATCCCACAATACTTAGCATATGTGCTGTTAGAGAACCAAGAGTCAGCCATTCGAAAACTGTCTGTCAGTCCGCTTGCAACCCTCGGCAAGCAATAAAAATATCTATCTTTCAAAACAGTTTTCAAATCTGATGAAGAAGGATCATGACCAATATGAACGTCCTGGTTTTGTGGCGATGCTTTGATACATATATGCGTGCTTGAAGTAGCGTTGGCTGTAAAGTTTTTACCTTGTGTAAAGTTACTGTTTCCCCATGCATTTTCAGTTTCGTAGACAATTTGAGACATGTGCTCCAGGCCATCTTGTATCAGGCCGTCGACCGTTTTCCGAAAGTCAACAAATGTACTTCTTTTTGCACTGTTCGTCAGCTGACTGCAATTTTCCCGTTCAACACCCATTAAAACCACGGTTCTGCGGTTCGTTTCCAACATTGTGGTGTAATTAAAGAAACACGATGAGTCCATCGTTTTCATGGCGACTTCCATTAAGTTGATTGGCATTCCAAATGTTGCAGTCGTCTGGTCGTATAATTGCCTTGTTAAGTTAAAATGACATCCTGACAACACTCGAATATTACCCACTCGGCGGGAGACAGGATTCTCACTAAACAAATTTTGTATCTGAAAAACTGAGAGTTGCATAATGCAAACAGGAATAATGTAAAACAACATAGCTTTGGCTGGGAGCTACACGTCGAAGAAGACACCAATGTACTTAGACAACGTTGGCAAATGGACAGACGTGTAGCTAGCTTTGCTTATATATGTGGTGTGATTAATTTCGTAATGGACAAGGATAACAAATGATGAAAGGTTTAATTGTTTCGGTTTCATGTTTAAATGTTCTGTTCATAGCTGTGTGTGAAATGACAGGATATCTCGACAGGTTCACAGGAATACATTTATGTGTGAGATAATGCAATGTCTTGACAGAGCTGGCCTGCACAACAATTTTCAAAATCCGTTATCTATTTTCTCCGTCGGGCATTATTTTATGCCAGTTGTAATTGTTATGCGCAAGAGAGATAAAGCAAAAAGATCGGCGACACAATGCCTTAAATATCAAGGCGCCCCAAATGTAAAAAATGAAAGTATAGACATCAGCTCTCACGAGATGGTGAATTACCTATCAGTAAAAATTAAGTCAAAATGGGCATTACTGTTACATGTATATCCAGGGTCGCATGCTGAGAATACACACTTAAAAGCGTTCCTTCGTCTAATTTCTGATCATAAATATATCCATCCATTCCGTAAAAAGAAAAAAATAGGGAGTTTTTCTGTCGCATATGAAACTGGTTTTGAACGGGAAACAGACAAAAAGAAACCTGTCAAGTGTTATGATGAAGATGAGAACTGCAGCCCAGTCTCAGGTGGAAATGTCTGCAGTAGTTAACGTGTTGCAAAGGGCACTTGCGGGCCCAGAGAAATATACTGATGTAAATCGGTCACTATCCCTTTCAATAATTCACTTAATGCTCTAAGGAAGTGCGCTATTCCAAGGTTGCAAGACAAGAAGGACTTGGTTTCTGATCTTCTTTTTAGTTTTCTCTCGCCTCTTACAACAACGACGATAATGTTGCAAAATTTGCGGGAAATAATGTAACGAAATTCAGTGCTATTTCTTCACGTTATGCTATCTGAAAAATTATGGTGGCACTTGGTTGGGTTTATAGTGGTTATGCTTTGAGATAAAAAATCTTTAAGATATTTTTAATACGGTGACTTTTATCTGCTTGCCTGCATAGTGATGCTGCGGCTCTGTCAACCCAGACTTATCGGATTTCTAATGTCAGGCAATGATTTTGAGAAAAGGGGGCTATTTGAAGACTGGCAATATATGCAAACAGGATATTTGTATCGCCTGTGATACTTATCTTCACGTTGACTCACAGAAAACTAAGAGGCTTGTTGTCACTGAGATTAAGGGAAAGGTTGGGAAAAGGTTTAAAGATACCCAAAAAATTAATTATATTTCAAAAATCTTTAAGGGGACAACCCCGTACCCTTTCTCCTTCCCTCTCCCTTTGCAGGCTACGATACTGACTGCCATCAATGTCTTATGAAGGCATTTCCAGCTAATATTGTTGTCCCACCTAAAAGATACAGATAAGAGAAATTCTCGTGATCTTTGGACCTCTGGGTCTGTCCGTAAATCTTAGTCATTTTTTACCTTGTCAGGCTGGAGCCATGGACTCAGTATATTCTACTTTTTCCTCGTCCATTTTTGCGATAATTTTTATAAGTCAAAATGAGCGATCTTTAGGTGCAATATCGTCCCCACCCAACACGTGGCTCTGATGTTCATAACATTAAGTGATTAAAGCTGTAATCGGGCGAGAAAATGCTCAGAACAGTCTGTCACATTCCCTAATCATACATTACTTTTGGTCACGATCAATATGCACAGTGTTAATGTTAATTCATGTCGAAAATGTTCGACTAGAGCTCTCATACATATATACCGGGTAGGTAGCTTTCGAGTTATGTGAAAAAAAGTCAATGGCTCCATCGGGACATTTTCGTTGAGCTAAAAACGTCTAAGAGAAATTTTCGGTACCTAGAAAATGTGTTCCTATGCCACTTTGACAACCTAGGGCAATTATAAATATCCAAGATGACCGGCAATTCCGATGAACGGCAATTCCAATAGAAATATATACCCTTGCATATGAAATGCTCTTGTTCTTGGCTGATACCACCATGTCAGCCCAACCATGCCTTAGAAATGTGTGAATCGATCCCTTTGCTGATTGGAATCATTTTTCAAACTTTTGACAAATACAAAATATTCTGAAGCTAATTGTAGTGGAAAATGTCAAAGTCTCTTAAAGTTTTATTTGATTGGATATTCTATCACGTGTATACATGCAACAATTGCAGACAGGACTTTGGGAATCATCCAAGTATGATACGTACAGTGTACATGTAATGGATATAATATTCTAGATATATTACTGCAAATAAGACTCACAGAAATTGCCTATAAGGAAATATTCAATGAGTCATTGGCAAATTATAATGGGAAAGTCCTTTGATCACGCAGAAGAGGATGTAGAGAAAACGTGAATGTTTGATCTGCGTGGAGATATGGGGTTTAATACTCTTGTATTTGTATAAAAAAGTGAGTCGATTAATAAATGTTTGAAAGCTCCAACTCGGCGTCGTCGTCACTATAACACATGGTCAGAAATAAGCCATAAATAAGTGTTATTCATTTGTTTTTATTTTTTAACTAGTTATGTGAAGGATGAGTCTAAACACCTAAACATAAATAAACTTTTTCCAAATT